AGTGTCCGCTGTGGCAAAGACCAAGTCGTCGACGTACACGAGGATGTAGAACGGCGGCAGGGAAGTGTCGGTGCGAAGAAACAGCGACGGGTCAGCAGTAGAAGGAGCAAACCCAAGAGCCGCAAGTGTAGTCCTCAGTGTGTCGTGCCACTCACGCGGTGCCTGGCGGAGACCGTAGACTGGCCGTCGGAGGCTCCACTGGGTGCCAGGAGGGAAAGTCCCAGTGAAGCCAGGTGGACGGCGAAGCCAGATCTCCTCGTGCAGGCTACCCTGCAAGAACGCAGTGCTGAAGTCGAGAGAGTGAAGCTCGTAGTCGCGCTGAGCGGCTATGTGCAGCAGCACCCGAAGAGTAGTCATCTTCGGGGTGGGAGAGAAGGTCTGAAAGTAGTCAACTCCCTGCCGCTGACTGAAGCCACGAGCAACGTACCGTGCCTTGAAGACAGGTGGAGAGCCCGGCGGCCGCTTCACCCTGAAGATCCACATGCCACTGACGATGTTCGCCCCAGGAGGGGGAACCGCGTCAACGTAGGTGCCTGTGGACTTCCAGGAAGCCATCTCTGCATCCATAGCTGCCTGCCACTGAGAGGAGTAGGGACCCTCTACGGCCTCCGCGTAAGAACGCGGAGTCGGGATGTCTAGTGCATCCGGGTCTCCCTCAGGGGCAAGCAGTACAGACGCGAGATGAGGTGAAGCAGTCGCTAGACACTGTAACTCCTCCTGCCTGTCCTCTAGGACGTCCGTGCTAAGAGCACACTCACCCCCGACGGACGGAGGACAGACAGACGCAGACTCAGCAACAAGACTAGCAGCGTAGTCGAGACGACAGCGAGCAGCAAAGTCGACGAGCTCAGCGACTAGAGCAGACGCAGCAGTGGACTCAAAAGAGGGGTCAGTGACGACAGTAGCAAGCAGACGTGTGACAGTAGGACTGGCAGCACGAAGAGAGTCCGACTCAGGGTCGGCAAGCGCAGGAAGAGAAGACTCAGGAGGAGAAGGCAAAGGGGCACGCAGAGGAGCAGTGGACGGACGCAAAGACATCCGGTGCGTGCCAGGGACAGGAGGACGCTGACGCGAACTGCGACCACTAGCGCGAGCAGTGCGAACAGGCGACGCGGGACGAGACGCAGGCTCACGACGCTCAGCAAGACCTCCAGTAGGACCAGTGTAAGGAGAGGGAGCAGGCAGTGGAGAGGAAGGCTCCAGCAGGGACTGCGACTGGACAGGCGGTGGACCCTCTACTGGAGGAGAAAGACCAAGAACCTGCTGCAGGAGCGGAACGAAGTACGGCCAAGGCCGCGCGGCAGCTCCAGACGCAGCAGGGACAGCACCAGCACCCTCAGCGACAGCACCAGCGCCACCCACACCTCCAGCGGCAGGACCAACAGCAGTATGCTCAGCACCAGGAGGACCCGCAGGTCCAGCAGCTCCGGGACCGGCAGCACCCGCACCCTCGACGGTCGAAGAAGCTCCAGCTCCAGCTCCAGCAGCACCTCCAGACTCAGCAGCACGCCTCCAGCGGCGAGCGAACCACTCGCGCAGCTCCTGTGGAGAGAGGGGCTCCCGGCGAGACGCAGCAGCAGGAGAAACCCCAGGCTCAGTAGCTCCAGACGCAGCACCCCCAGGCTCAGCAGCTCCCAGCTCAGCACCCCCAGGCTCAGCAGCTCCCGACCCAGCACCCCCAGAACCAGCACCTCCAGGCACAGCACCCCCCGGCTCAGCACCCCCAGGCTCCGCACCCTCCGCACTAGCACCCTCAGGCCCAGCACCCCCAGCAGTAGCACCCCCAGGCTCAGCACCCCCGCGTACAGCACCCCCAGAGTCAGCACCCCCAGGCTCAGCACCCGCAGCAGCACCAGAGTCACCAGTAACCTCGACCGGTTCAACGGCGTCTACCTGGGACACACCTGAGGGGGCAGGAACCTGAGGGGGGAGGGGGTCTGCCGGGGGAGGAACCGGCACAATGAAGTCCGGGGGAGGGGGGAGGGAAGGAGTGCGGTAGGGGAAGAGACGGTAGAAGGGGACTGACTCGTTGAACGTGACGTCCTGGGAGGACAGAACACGACGAGAGGAGGGGTGGTAAAACTGCCACCCTGGGGCGTCAGTGGGGAAGCCAAGGAAGACACAGGGAGCAGCACGAGGGGACAGCTTGTCCGCAGACAAGTCGCGGACAAACGCCCGAGATCCCCAGACACGGAACACAGACGCATCGCCAACCTTCCCCGTCCACAGCAAGGCTGGGGACATCGCAGGCCGAGAGACCCGGGGGTGAAGGTTGAGCTGATGCGCCGCGTACCTCACCGCAAACGGCCACAGAAAATGAGGGGCAGCCGCATGCATCATGGACGTACGAGCGACATCCATGACCATGCCAATGCGGCGCTCAGCAATCCCATTTTGCTGTGGTGAGTCCGGAAGCGTGAAGGTCTGGCGGATCCCCCGTGCACGACAGTAGTCCCGCAGAAGGCGAGAAGAGAACTCTCCGCCTCTGTCAGAGTGCAGACGCAGAACAGGAAAGTCCGAGCCGAAGCTTTTCCTGAGCTGGAGACGAGCCTCGCGGATCCAGTCGATCAGCACCTCAGTGACCTCACCCTTGCTGCGCAAGGGGAGGACTGTGGTGTAACGCGAGTAGTCGTCAACCACCAACAGGAAGTAGCGCTCGTAACCCTGCCCACGGACGGGGGCTGGGCCCCACACATCCATGTGAAGCGTCTGCGGGGGAGCCTCTGTCGGGGGGAAGTGGGAGGAGTGAGGAGTAGCCCGGAGGCGACCCTCGACACAGGGGACACAGGAAGGTCCTGGCCCGGAGGGGAGAGGAGGGAGAGACTGGGGAAGACCAGAGACAAGGACACGGGAAGCTATGCTCCGAAGACGGGGCAAGGAGGGGTGGCCAAGACGGTGGTGCCACAGGAGAGTCTCGTGAGACAGGAGGCGACAAGAACAGGGGGCAGACTCAGGACCTGACCGGGACGCAGCAGCAAGTACCTGACCCGACGCAGCCACCTGACCAGACGCAGGGACAGGAGGAGACTCAACGGTCAGGGTGTAGAGACTCGACCCCGGCCGACGCGAGAACGTGGCCAGGTGTCGGCCTGTGCGTGCCTCCGTGCAGTGGGTCACCCGCAGACTCGCAGGAGTGAACTGGTGAACACCCACATCCTGCAGGTCCGCTCCACTCACCAAGTTCGTAGAGAACGAGGGAAGGTACAGACCCGACAGGGTGCCCGAAGGGGCAGCCGGACACGGGAGGACAGTGGAGAAGTGAGACAGGACAGGACCCCCAGAGGGGTCAGCAAGGGAGACTGCAACCGGCCGGCCGAGCGGCGTAAGGGTAGTGCGGTCTCGAAAGAAGGAGCGAGAAGCTCCGGAGTCAAGTGTGAAAGTGAGGGAGGACGAGGACGACGCAGTACCTGAGAGCGCAGTCTCACCAGTACCTGAGAGCGCAGACGCACTGGCACCTAGAGCAGCAGCCTCACAAGCACCTAGCGCAGCAGTACCAATGCCCGGGTCGGGCTGGAAACAACGGTAACCCTCATTCTCCTCACTATAATCCACAACATACATAGCAGCAAGGATAGCATCAAAATCAAGATCAAAGATCGCTACACCAGCCCTGAGAAGCTCATCCCAGCGAGGGATCTCACTAGCCCCAGGGAACTGCTGACGCCAGGCGTCCGTCAGGCGGCCAAAGCAGCGCTGGGTGGCGTGGGTACCCCCACACTTCTCACCCGCGCGGTCGCCAGAACGAAGAACGTAGGTGCAGGGACCAGTACCCCCACCCCTCTGACGCCCAGCGTACCACTCACGAAGCTGCTGAGGCGAAGGGATGTCCCGCGAGCGCTGCTGCTGCTGCCGCTGCGAGCGCTGGCCACCACCACCGCCGCTACGCTGCTGGGTACCACCTCGACCAGCTCCACCTCCTCCACCACCACCGCCTCCTCCGCTGCCGCCTCCACCGCCTCCACCTCCGCCGCCTCCACCACCGCCGCTGCCTCCACCACCACCGCTGGCACCACCACCACCGTCTCCGCCACTGCTGCCACCACCACCACCACCTCCACCACTAGTCCCGCCGCCACCCCCACTCCCTCCGCCGCCACCACCGCCACCGCCACCGCCCCCTCCAGCTCCACCCGCGCCCTTGCCCCCCTTGCCCTTGCTGGAGCGACGTCTCCCACTAGGGGCAGACGCCGCGCCGACCGACTCAAGACCAAGCAGGTCGGCAGCAGCAGCAGAGGCAACAGAGGGCAGCAAGGGGGAAGGAGAGCACCCCTCAAAGATGGGGGTGCGAGGGTCACCACGAGAAGCACCTACAGCGACTATGCTCTTCTCCGCTGCGAGGAGGGCCTTCTCGAGGAGGTCGACGGTGAGGGTGGTGGGACAGACTGCGAGAAAGTGGTCCCTGACGACGCGAAGGGAGTCAGGGAGGCGCGCGACTACGTAGTAGAGAGCGATGTACATGGGGGGGGGGGTTCTTAGCGCAGAACTCAGCAGGAAGGGCGGCGCGGTAGCGAGTGTCACTAGTGCGGAGGTGCGTAATGAGGTCAGCGACAGTGGGAAAGGCAGAGAGGTCCGGAAAGAGGTAGGGAAGCATGAGACGGCTCAGTGCAGCAGTGGCAGGGGAGGAGTAGCGCGCAACTACAGCGTCGTACAAGGTCTGAGCACTCTTGTACTGACTAAAGTGCGCACGCTCGGAGGTAGGGAGATGGCGACGCACAGCAAGACGTGCAGCAGCATCGCGGGTGGCCCACTTAGAGCGGACAGTGGGATCAGCATCAGCAGCAGGAGCAGGAGAGGCGCCAGAGGTGAGGTCAAAGAGAGAAAGGCCGTCAGCCCTGTCGCACTGTAAGAACAGCTGCAGGTCGTCTAACCAGACCTCAAAATCAATGGCGCGACCCTCAGCGTCAAAAGCTAGGACACTAGGGGTAGCCATGGCGACGACAGCGACGCAGTGCAAGCAGTAGGGAAAGAGCTCGCAGTGTCAGTGGGACTGTGCTCACCAGGCAGGGCAGGTCGTGCAGCTATGCAGAAAGGCGGCTCAGCGACCGGGCGGCTTGGGTGCAGGGCGGCTCGGCTGCTGGGCGGCTCGGGCCCACGGGCGGCTCGGCGGCAGGGCGGCTCGGCTCCCGGGCGGCTCGGCGGCAGGGCGGCTCGGGTCCCGGGCGGCTCGGCGTCGGGCGGCTCGGCTCACGGGCGGTTCGGCTGCTGGGGCGGCTCGGCCAGGAGATGCAGGGGCGGGGCCGTCAGGTGCAGCGGCGGGCCGTAGGGTGCAGCGGCGGGCCGTAGGGTGCAGTGGCGGGCCGGCAGGTGCAGCGGCGAGGCCGTCAGAGGCGGCGGGCCGGCAGGTGCAGCGGCGAGGCCGTCAGAGGCGGCGGGCCGCTGGGTGCAGCGGCGGGCCGGCAGGTGCAGCGGCGGGCCGGCAGGAGCAGCGGCGGGCCGGCAGGGGAGGCGGCGGAGCCGCGTCAGGGGAGGCGGCAGGGCCGCGACAGGGGAGGCGGCGGAGCCGCGTCAGGGGAGGCGGCGGGGCCGCGTCAGGGGAGGCGGCGGAGCCGCGTCAGGGGAGGCGGCGGGGCCGCGGCAGGGGAGGCGGCGGGGCCGCGTCAAACAGGCGGCGGGGCCGCGTCAGGGGAGGCGGCGGAGCCGCGTCAGGGGAGGCGGCGGGGCCGCGTCAGGGGAGGCGGCGGGGCCGCGTCAAACAGGCGGCGGGGCCGCGTCAGGGGAGGCGGCGGAGCCGCGTCCGGGGAGGCGGCGGGGCCGCGTCAGGAGAGGCGGCGGGGCCGCGTCAAACAGGCGGCGGGGCCGCGATCAGGAGAGGTGGCGGGGCCGCGTCTGAGGGACAGCGGGGCCGCGAGTAAAAAGGCGACCCGAGGGGTCGCTAAAAAAAGGCGCGCCTCGGGGCGCGCTTCGGTGGGCCCTAAAAAAAACGGTCCTAAGGCAGGACCCGCTCTATACCATGTGAAGCAAGGAAAACAGGAATGAAATGACTATGGAAGATTGGGTACAAATACAACCCTAGAAACCCTGTACCCCACATGTGCTACCCCACTATAGCCTACAGAAACTATGTCATATAAATCTGACAGTCAGAACATATATGTAGCTTATGCTGTTGTGTAGGCTACAGTGGGGTAAACCATAGTGGGTACAACCCAATTAGGGTTTTGCTATTTCTACTCACTTCAGTCATAGTTCATTCATTCTCGCTCTATTTTCCACATGGTATCGAGCAGGTTCCCCTGTGGGAACCGTGCTTAGGGCCCACCACTTTTAAACTTTTTTTTCTGCCCGGAGCGCGCTCCGGGCCCTCGCTCTCACTCTTTCGGCCTGCCCTGCAGGCCCCTAGCCGCCCGCGCGCCGCCTGTCCCGACCCCTAGCCGCCCGCGCGCCGCCCGTTCAGGCCCCTAGCCGCCCGCGCGCCGCCCTTCCCGGCCCTTAGCCGCCCGCGCGCCGCCCGTCCCAGCCCCTAGCCGCTCGCGCGCCGCCCGTTCAGGCCCCTAGCCGCCCGCGCGTCGCCCGTCCCGGCCCCTAGCCACTCGCGCGCCGCCCGTTCTGGCCCCTAGCCGCCCGCGCGCCGCCCGTCCCGGCCCCTAGCCGCTCGCGCGCCGCCCGTTCAGGCCCCTAGCAGCCCGCGCGCCGCCCGTCCCGGCCCTCAGCCGCCCGCGCGCCGCCCATCCCGGCCCCTAGCCGCTCGCGCGCCGCCCGTTCAGGCCCCTAGCCGCCCGCGCGCCGCCCGTCCCGGCCCCTAGCCACCCGCGCGCGCCCGTCCCGGCCCCTAGCCGCCCGCGCGCCGCCCGTCCCGGCCCCTAGCCACCCGCGCGCAGCCCGTCCCGGCCCCTAGCCGCCCGCGCGCGCCCGTCCCGGCCTCACACTGCCCGTGCGCCGCCCGTCCCTGCTGCACGCCGCCGTCCTGGCCCCCCACGCCGCCCGTTAGCCGCCGTGCAGCCTGAGTCGCCCAAGCCGTCTGCGCAGCTGAGGAGCCGAGCCGCCCGAGCCGCCTGTGCCGCTGACTGCCCGAGCTGCCCGAGCCGCCTGAGCCGCCCGAGCCGCCCGAGCCCCCTCCCCCCCCCCCCCCCCCCCCCCCCCCCCTTTTCCCGTCGCCTGTCGAGGCGACCTGAGAGGCCAGCTGAGGGGTGGCAGGTGTGTGGTCTCCCCTGCTTCTCCTCCTCCTTCGTCTCGAGCCGCCCTGCAGCCGAGCCGCCTCGCCGCCGAGCCGCTCTACACCCGAGCCTCCCAGCAGCCGCGCCGCCCTGCAGCCGAGCCGCTCTACACCCGAGCCTCCCAGCAGCCGAGCCGCCCTACAGCCGCGCCGCCGGGTCGCCGAGCTGCCGAGCTGCAGTTGCTGCCGAGCCGCTCTGCCGCCGAGCCGCCCGAGTCGCCCGAGCCGCAGAGCCGCCGTGCTCCCGAGCCTCTGAGTCGCCGAGCCTACTCTACCCACCACTGGTGAGCCCCTGCCCTGCTAGCACGCTGCGCGTCGCCTGCTTGCCTGCCTGCCTCCCTTTTTGGCTTGCCTGGCTGCCTGCCTTACTGCTGCTACTCCTGCTCCTGCCTCTACTGGTGGAGCCAGATGCGGCCCCATCGACGTCTGCGTGAGTCCCTCACGCCCCAGCAGCTGCGTGAGTGGTACGCTGGTTGGGGCTGTATGGGTGGTGGCGCTACTACTGCTACCACTCCTGCTGCTTCTCCTACTGGTGGCGGCCAGATGCAGCTCCCGCGACCCCCCCGCGCGTCTCTCACGCCTCAGCAGCTTCGTGAGTGGTACGCTCAGAGTGGAGGGTCTCTCAGTTCTGTTCGCTGCTCTTACGTGATTCTCACTGGTGCTCGGACTGGTCAGCCCTGTGGGACACCTAGTCATACACAGTCCCGCTGCTTCGCCCGTCTGAGCGACGCCTGGCGTACCGTGTTTGGCGACGAGGCTCAGCTCCCCGACTGGGTGGAGTTGCTTAGGCAGAGGGTAGATATATTTGCTCTTGACTATGATGCTATTCTCACTGCCATGTATGCATTGCCTACTAGTGCTGACCGTGCCGGTCACCTGTGCGTACCGCCTGACCCGGGTATAGGACCTGCTGCTCTAGCTACTAGTGAGGCTGCTGCTGCTCTGGGTGCTAGTGAGTCTCCTGCTCCAGGTACAGGTGCGGCTGCTGCTCTAGGTGCTAGTGAGTCTGCTTCCTCAGGTGCGGGTGAGGCTGCGCTCTCAGGTACCACGTTGGCTTCGGCCTCCCTCACCTTTACACTTGACTCTGGGGCTTCTCGCTCCTTCTTTCGGGACCGCACCACACTCACGCCGCTTGGTCGGCCTGTTGCAGTCTCCCTGGCTGACCCCTCTGGGGGTCCTGTCCTCGCTCACTTTTCCACTGTCCTCCCGTGTCCGGCTGCCCCCTCGGGCACCCTGTCTGGCCTGTACCTCCCCTCGTTCTCGACGAACTTGGTGAGTGGTGCAGACCTGCAGGATGCGGGGGTTCACCAGTTCACTCCTGCGAGTCAGCGGGTGACCCACTGCACGGACGCACGCACAGGCCGGCACCTGGCCACGTTCTCGCATCAGCCGGGGTCGAGCCTCTACACCCTGACCACTCAGTCTCCTCCTGTCCCTGCGTCCGGTCAGGTAGCAGCGTCAGGTCAGGTGTTTGCTGCTGCGTCCAGGTCTGGTCCTGAGTCTGCCCCCTGCTCGTGTCGCCTCTTGTCTCACGAGACTCTCCTGTGGCACCACCGTCTTGGCCACCCCTCCTTGCCCCGTCTTCGGGGCATGGCTTCCCGTGTCCTTGTCTCTGGTCTTCCCCAGTCTCTCCCTCCCCTTCCTTCGGGACCAGGACCTTCCTGTGTCCCCTGTGTCGAGGGGCGCCTCAGGGCTGCTCCTCACTCCTCCCAGTTTCCCCCGACAGAGGCTCCTCTGCAGACACTTCACATGGACGTGTGGGGCCCGGCCCCCGTCCGTGGGCAGGGTCACGAGCGCTACTTCCTGTTGGTGGTTGACGACTACTCGCGTTACACCACACTCTTCCCCTTCCGCAGCAAGGGTGCTGTCACTGAGGTGCTGATCGACTGGATCCGCGAGGCTCGTCCCCAGCTCAGGAGGAGCTTCGGCTCGGACTTTCCTGTTCTGCGTCTGCACTCTGACCGAGGTGGGGAGTTCTCCTCTCGCCTTCTGCGCAACTACTGTCGTGCACAGGGGATCCGCCAGACCTTTACGCTTCCGGACTCTCCACAGCAAAATGGGATTGCTGAGCGCCGCATTGGCATGGTCATGGATGTCGCTCGTACGTCCATGATGCATGCGGCTGCCCCTCATTTTCTGTGGCCGTTTGCGGTTCGGTACGCGGCGCATCAGCTCAACCTTCACCCCAGGGTCTCTCGGCCCGATATGTCCCCAGTGTTACTGTGGACGGGGAAGGTCGGCGATGCGTCTGCGTTCCGTGTCTGGGGATCTCGGGCGTTTGTCCGCGACTTGTCTGCGAACAAGCTGTCCCCCCGTGCTGCTCCCTGTGTCTTCCTTGGCTTCCCCCCTGACGCTCCAGGGTGGCAGTTCTACCACCCCTCCTCTCGTCGTGTTCTGTCCTCGCAGGACGTCACGTTCGACAAGTCAGTCCCCTTCTACCGCCTCTTCCCCTACCGTACTCCTTCCCTCCCCCCCCCACCGGACTTCCTGGTGCCAGTTCCCCCCCCGGTAGACCCCCTCCCCCCTCAGGTTCCTGCCCCTTCAGGTGTGTCCCAGGTAGACACAGTCGAGCCAGTCGAGGTTGCTGCTGAGTCTGGTCCTGCTGCGGGTGCAGAGTCTGGGGGTGCTAGGCCTGCGGGTGCTGAGCTTGGGGGTGCTGCTGCTGGGGGTGCTGAGCCTGGGGGTGCGAGGCCGGGGGGTGCTGAGCTTGGGGGTGCTGCTGCTGGGGGTGCTGAGCCTGGAGGTGCGGAGCCTGCGACTGCTGGACCTGGGGGCTCTCCGGTTGCTCCGTCTCGGCGGGAGCCGCTCTCTCCACACGAGGTGCGCGAGTGGTTTGCTCGCCGCTGGAGGCGTGCTGCTGGAGCTGGAGCTCCTTCGACTGCTGAGGGTGCTGGTGCTGCCGGTCCCGGAGCTGCTTGGCCTGAGGGTCCTACTGGAGCTGGAGCTACTGAGCCTGGGGGTGCTGAGTCTGGAGCTGCTGAGCCTGGGGGTGCTGAGTCTGGGGCTGCTGAGCCTGGGGGTGCTACGTCTGGAGCCGCTGAGCCTGGGGTTTCTCCTGGTGCTGCGTCTCGGCGGGAGCCCCTCTCTCCACAGGAGCTGCGCGAGTGGTTTGCTCGCCGCTGGAGGCGTACTGCTGGAGCTGGAGCTTCTTCGACCGTCGAGGGTACTGGTGCCGCCGGTCCCGGAGGTGCTACGCCTGCGGGTCCTACTGGAGCTCGGGCTGCTGAGGGCGTTGGTGCTGAGTCTGCTGCTGTCTGTCCTGACGGTGGTTCTGCTGCTGGTGCGGCTGGAGGTCCTGCCGCTGGAGGTGTTGGTGGCGCTGGTGCTGCCGCTGAGGGTGCTGGTGCTGTCCCTGCTGAGTCTGGAGCTGCCGCGCGGCCTCGGCCGTACTTCGTTCCGCTTCTGCAGCAGGTTCTTGGTCTTTCTCCTCCGGTAGAGTGTCCACAGCCTGTCCAGTCGCAGTCACTGTTGGAGCCTACCTCCCCACTGCCTGCTCCCTCTCCTTACACTGGTCCTACTGGAGGTCTTGCTGAGCGTCGTGAGCCTGCGTCTCGTCCCGCGTCGCCTGTTCGTGCTGCCCGCGCTAGTGGTCGTGGTTCGCGTCCGCGTCCTCCTCCTGTCCCTGGCACGCACCGGATGTCTCTGCGTCCGTCCACTGCTCCTCTGCGTGCCCTTTTGCCTTCTCCTCCTGAGTCCTCC